GAAGCGCGAAACGAGTCGTTGTTATTTCGAGACACCTGAGTTTTACCTTAATTATCTAAATTTACACGGAATGCGACACATCGAGCCGTGTCGAAGTTTACCGCAGGCGTATTTCAATCGCTCTTGTAGCTTTCAGTTCTCTGTTTAAAGAACAAACGAATTCAATTCAATCCCATTTTTCCTTTCGTTCGCGAGAGAATTTATTCGATTTTTATAAAATACGTAATGCTGGTCACGACGAGTTCACGCGAAAATTACACGCACGGCTGTTCCTTCGTATAAATCACAATCGAACGCTGGTGCAAATACCAAGGCATATCTGCAATCACGATAAATCAGCGCGGTTCTAAAGCCGTTTGGATATCAGGCCGAGTACAATTTCACCTGAATTAAAGAGTGACGCGTAATTTAGTTATTTCTTTACAATTTTCTTACAGTATAATCTCGGCAATTTTTCTATAATTATCAAGTTGGTGCATACGAAATGATGTGTTATTCAGAGAAATATACACTTGCAGGGGAACATTTCAAAATGATAATCGATCGATTTTGGTGAAACTTTCTTTTTTTGATGAAAAATTCGACAGGTGTTCTGTTATATCGGCAATCGTCCTAAAAATTGAAGGTAGTAAATATATTTACCTTCGCAATATCAAAGGAATAATAGCTGTGAATTTAAAAAAATTCGTGGTATAGTGATAATAGCGAAAAAAAGAGGCAAATAAAATAAGAAAAATAAGAATAGGCATAAAAAAAATAGAGAAAAAAATTTATTCAAGCTGTCGTATTGCGTATAAAAAATAATGAAACTCAGACCTCTTCTAGTTTTCTCACAAATCTACCACTTAGAGAAAAACACTGGAAATTAATAGCGTGAACACTGTATATTTTTATTGATACACGATACTAATTTAAGTCACGTAATAATAGCTTTAGCACAAACTTAATAGGTGATCTAATACTTATGAAAGCTGTTTAAAGCTGTTGTTCGTTTAATCGTACTAATTAGGAGTAATAAATAATACTTTTAACCTTCCATATTTTTCTTATATTTTCGTTTCTTTTGGTGTTCTACACTTTTTCAGCGCGTTCTGTTTTCTTTTTTTTTCGCGTTTGGCAGAGATGGCAGAGAAACGAAAAATAGGAGAGCGTGGCCCAAATGATACGACGAAGATAGTCACAGAGAGCCTCGTTAAAGCCGAAATTTTTGGCTTTTACCATAGTAGCTTCGGGATGAAAGCATTTATTCCTTTTTATCTGTCTCTTTGTATTTCTTAACTCACATTTTCTTTTTTTTTTTTCAATTGTAACCATTGGAGCTTAGTTTCGGAACTATTCTAGAGGGCCTATCTAGAATTAATGAGTGAAAGTAGGAATATACACGGATTAATTCGTCGAAAGATGTTTGCGTCAGACTAAACAACTTGCATAGCAAATCAGTAGAAACTAATCTCGTTGCGTTATAATGGAAGATATTGAGCATATGGAATGAAGAAAGACTTTATGGAAATCGGTATATAGAATTTCAATCTGATATTAACCCTTTGCACATGACTAGTCTCTTTGGAGAACTTTAAAATGTAAAATTCAGGTTTTTTTTTTTGTATTATTAACCCTTTCACTACTATTGGCGCTTATAGGCGTTGTTGGAGCCTTTTGGTGCACTTTTACTTTAATTTAATACTTGATTTTGTCCTTTCGCCATAAAACGATACCGTCAAAGTAACAAATTTTGCAGCATTGCAATCTGCCACAGCGAAAGGGTTAACAGAAATAAGTAAATTCACAAACGTTAAAAATCTTCTGTTTCCAAAACAAAATTTCGAGTTTTCCGAAGTACACCACAATTGCTAATCAATCTTATCAAAAAATGCTTGCATTGCAAAGGGTTAAAGAAGCAACATAACCACCGCAATACAAAAAAAAAAGTCTACCAAGTTACTTGGATCAAAAATTCATTTACTTCACCCACTAAGAATGGAAATACACTCGCTTCACCTTAAACTCCTGTATAAAAAAATAACATTTCATATGCACCATCCTCGACCATCCAAGCCAATATTCCTATTTCTAACAAGCAGCAACAGCTCTCACTTCCGGCAGACTCTACTCTAATTCTACTTTCACGTTATGTACATACACTCGATTCCTCTTGCAATCGACAAAATAATTCACCGAATCGATCCATGGATCACCGGGTGAGTGTAATTACTCATTTCACTAATACGTGGCTCGGTAAGAACGGGAACGTGTTGTAAATGTAAACAGGTCGATTGAACGCGAAGGAGTTGGCTATAGCCAGAGCTGGATTCGTGTCGAAATCTTCCTCGGGGGCAGCGGATGGTGTCGTTGGTTCTCTGGTTCGCGGGGTCGTTGTGGTTTTCATCGTTGTCGCCGTCGTGGTTGTCGATGAAGGTCGAGGGGTGGTGGTGGTGGTGGTGAAAATTGGGGGCTGCCTTGTCGAGTCCGGAGGTTCATAGGCTGGTAATCCAGGGGGCCCGTAATACGCGTGCAATCGATTGTTGGTGGGATTAAAGCGTTGACCATTAGGACGCCATCCCCTTGGTTTATATGGCGATAAATCTGACGTTGCTAGTCCGATACAGAGAAGCACGAGGGTCAGCTGGAAAATGGAAAAGCAATTAATGGCTTAGCTGTCGCGCGCTTTTCCTCCTGTCCTTTCGCTCGGCCACGTTCTGAAATACGGAACGAAGGAAACGTTAATGGCAGCCCGGCCGTTGTTGCCGCGAGAATGGGGCGGCGAACGATGATTTCGTTTGATCGTGATTGTCGTTCGTTGATGGAAGAAATCAGATGTTGAAGTAGCGGAAGAATAACGGCTCTTCTCGATTGGTCGAGTTTAGATTGTCTCTAGGTTGAACATTGTTTAACAGTAATTCTGCGTAACTTGGCCACGGCGCCGAAAAGAATGTCTTATTTTAAGTGAACACATCCTAATTCGTGTAAATAATATGTCAATCGTTGGAAATAAAAGTGTGATGCTCTGGATGAAAGTTTGACAAATAGCACCATTCGTTTTGATTTTGGCAAATTCCACGGCGTTCAACTTGGTAATGTGTTATGTGAATGTCTTTTTAATGGTTATAGAAATGTAGGAATTCATATTTCGCTCCGTATTTTTGGAGTTTTATAAATTTGTGTGTATTCGTATATTCGATTCGTGAAATGATTTATTGATTTACGCGCATACGCGTATGTGTATTTTAGTTTATTTATGGAGTGTGAAAGTAGAAATTTTATGTAAAAACGTGCCGTTCCGAAGTTTCAGAGCGATCATCGGGATTATTTTTTGCTGTTGATATTGTTATGCACACTTCACAAAAATACACTATTAATTTTGATTTTCCATTGGAAAGCAAACTTACACTCCCGAGAATTGACAAAAACAGCATCTAACCGTTTATTAAATAAACAGATTGAATTCTAATCGACACCGATGTTCTTAAATAATAAAACCAAAAATTCTGTCGGTAATTCGTTGAAAAATTAGATTAGTCAACTTGCAAAAAATATTGTGAAAAACAGTCTGCTCCATAATTTCCAGGTTAATTTCGTAAAATCAGTCGAATGTCTAGTTAATTCCACGTTAATGGAACTAAGTGTAAGTACGCAAGGGAAATGATCGATTCGAGTGTTTGAAACGAGACGAGGAAAGTAGGATTAGCGATTAAATAGTGTTCTTCTTGAATAACAAGTCCAGTGTGCTGTTACCGTTCTCCACATCATTGCTGGCGAACACCGTGAACTCCGGTTGGAAAATTTTGACTGACTTTTGCTTGTGTCTTTCATCCGTCTTTATATGCTACCACACGTTTACGAGATGGCGCCCAACCACCGTGCATACGAAACGATACGAAATGAAATTATTTCGTTGGTTACTGCTCGCTGTTTCGTAACTTTGCCAGACCTATATTACGTGTCGTGAATGGTCATTCGTTCCTAAGAAGTATCACGATGGCCACGACTTTTCGTGGTACTTGCCGTTGCCATTTTCTTTTTCTTCTTTCTTAGTGTTGAACGCGCGTTAACCGAGGATAGAAACTAACAGCGTAACTATTTTTCAATACATTGAGATTAGTTTTATTTTAAGGTTGCATACTGAGTTCTTGCATTTGTAATTCTACAATTTTTAATCACTATTGCTGTAGTTTTGAATTTAGAATTTAGATTTTTGCAATACTCAGAAAGTTGAATTTTCAAATTTTGCGAATTGCAGATCTGAATTGTAGATGAATTAAATTTGAAATTAATTTGTAATTTGTTACGTAGCTTTTGCTTTTTCTCTTTCGACCGATTGATAACCGGCGGTGATAAATATAGAATTGATCAGAGGAATCTCAGAGAAGACAGATAATTTCGAAGCGGGGTCTTAATTCAAAGGAGCTTACGGTTTCAATCTGATGGGACATCAAAGGAATTGGAATTGCTAGGACTTAGCGCTGAAATAACAGGACAATTGTGCAGCTATCAGTCAGAGAGGTTGCGTCAAACGTTGAAATTAAAGAGACCATCGTTGGTCGATTAAGAGCGTATAATTCTGTAGCTATGATGTCCGACACGTCGTGAATTTTACTAAAATATTTAACCGAAGTTAACCATGCTGTTTTATATTTTCTATTTTCAATTTAGTACGTATTGACTTGTACAGTCGTTATTCCCAATCTTTGCTTTTCACTATGCAATTGTTCATCGATTGTGAGTTTAAAATTCGTTTACAAAACAACAATGATTCTTCCACTATTTTGCACGTGTATTTTTAAATGAATACTCTCTCACTTTCTCAGAATTATAAAATAATTGCAATTTTAACACCTTCTGTAACTTATTAAAAAATACTCTCAGTAATTAGAAACTGTTAAGGGGATATTTTGTAACATTGTCACTTTGAAAAATCTGAAAATTACATTTATATCCTCTGGAAAAAATTGAAACTTGAAATTCGGTAGTTACCAATAAAGAAAAAGAAATCGCAAACTTTACCTATTTTTAGTCGCCTCGGGGCGGTGCAAACCGCCTTAAAAGTAAAAGAGAAGTGGAAGAACTCAACGTACAACCCTCCATCCTGTTCCACTTTCGAAAACGATAAACCACTTCTTCTCGCGAATAATTCCTCTCAAAGGGAAACGACGATTCCGTCGGCAAAGACAATTACAAATTCCCCGAAACTTCAGAGTTACTCTTTCTAAGAAAGCAACGTTTCTCCCTTCCATCATCGAAACGGCGTGTTTTCTGTTCGGCGAGCACGCGTTATTTACAAACAGCGATCGTCGTTCGTCACGAATTTTCCCCACGAAGCGAAGAGGGATCCCCAGCCAGCCGATGGGTAATTTCCTTCCCGGTCCACGGGCCGCTTTAAAACGCACCGGCGAAAGCAGCCGTTGTAGTACATAATTTTGTCACGGCTTACGTGAGCGGCGAACGTGTCCCGAATCCTCGATCTATTATGAATTCGCAAGATCGGCGGACGTCGTTGGTGCTCTTACGCGTACGAATTCGATCGGGACCGACGCTCGAAAAACGTGGCATGCAAGTTAATTACCGGATTGACAGTGAAGCTCACCCGGCTCTGATCTGGATTCCGGCTGCGGACCGCTTAGAACTTGCCGGCTCCCCGATGCCAGCGAAGAATCCTGTGCAACATCGAGAGAATAAGTTGGAATTTCTGCCAGGTTCGGGCGTCTTGGACGTTATTTGGATAACTCGGTGCTTTTTCGGGGGTGGTGAGTTAAGATGTGTTGAGGATTAAGAATACGTAGAGCTCCTTGCCGAAAAATTAGGGTCACTCGCAATTTTCAACACTTTTGGTGATTTTAGTCGAATTTGAAGGCTTGAACGTAATTTAGCAGTGAGCTTTATTCTTCATTAACCCTTTAACGCCCGTATTTTTCTCAACTTGATGTGCCAGAAATGATCAAGCTTATTTTAGGCGTATAGAACGAAGTTTCTCATTTATTTATAATGCTGACTTACATTTTTGCAAAAGTGAAAGAAAATAAACAAAATTGCACTTTTTGGAGGATTAGTTGTGCACGTGTAAAACAGGGCACGAGCGTTAAGGGGTTAATTAAGTAAAATAATATAAAGTCTGACAAAATAATACGAAGCCTAACAAGATATGCAAAACTGAAATTAATTTTCTGCTATTCCTCGTCGTTGTAGAGTTTTCTTTTCGAGGAAGATGTGCAAAACTGACGCATTAATTTTTTCGTTTTTATAGAATTTTTCGTACAGGATTTACACAGATTCTTGTTTTGTCTACGTATTTCTCTTGTTTTGTTGTATTGTCTTTTTCTTGGACTCAGGAAAAGGGGTTAATCGCACTTAACTCCTCAATGCATCAGTATTAACCCTTTCTCTGCGGCAGATTTTAGTATGTAACGCGCATTGCAGATGGTAGATGTTCAACCACAGCTGTAAAATTTTTTTTCTCTCGACTGTGTCGTTTTGAAATTTGTTTTATGAAATTAAGACGGAAGTATGCAAAGGATAAAATTAAGGTGGAAGTGCGCCAAAAGGCTCCAACAGCACAGTGCGAAAAAGCGCCAACAGCAGTGATAGGGTGAATCACGAAACGCGTGAATTGACACATTCGAGGTCAATGACCCAGTATACGGATCACGTAGCACGTTAAATATTAGTATTATCAGTTTTCTAGAATAAGATGTATAAAGAGTAAAATTGCCATTGATTTTTGGATTAAGTAAAAAAATGGATAATTTACAATTAAGGTTGTTAATTTATCGAAATGTAAATAGTGTTAAGTATCTTCCGGTTTCGATGCAAATGATATATCAAAGATTTACTAATTTACGCAATGACGTGGTGGGGAAAATATTGTATCGAACAGACGAAAATAGGAAAAAGATTAAAATTTTGTATTATAAGCTTGTATTAATTGGGCAAATAAGAACGAACCGGGTGTGTATTCGTCAAGATTGAGATAAGATAACGTCAGTCTTTTATATGTAAAAGATTCTCCTAAATATTGAAGTAATAGACTTCACAGCAAATATTTTACTTCGACATAACATTCTAAGCATATTACAATATTTTTCTGTAATTTATTTGAAACTTTTTAATGTTTATTTTTCATAACGTAAGATTTTCTATCAATTTTTCTAGGTGTCTTTTCAGAGATATCTGTTTACTATAGTTCTCGTAAAATTATTAGTATATTAACCCTCTATGGGCCGAATATTTTTCTTGACTGTAAAAGAATTTATGTAACGTAAAATTAGCAAATATCGACCTACAAATACAGAATAACAGTGAATTCAGCAGTTTCGACAATTTTATCATAACGAATACATATTGTAACTTTGAAGTAACAACGGTTATCAAGAAAGTTATCCTGAAGTTAATAATTAATTATTCTATGTAATTTCGAAATATACACTACCGGCCAAATGTTTGGAATCACTGCGCATTGCAAGTTGCACAAAAATTCCCCAAAAACGTTAGCATTTATAATAATTTGCCAACGAATTTTTTATTGTTCAAATCAATCGAAATGAGATAAAGTGCTGTTGATCTCCACAACATCGATTTCAAATCAATAAAGACTCAGTAGCAGATTCAATATTGATATAAATTGGCAGGTGATTCCAAACTTTCGGCCGGTAGTGTAGATCGAAATACAGATTTCTTGTGATAACAGAGATTTCCTGTGAAAATTGATTCAGCAGGGTGAATCTTTTTAAAATTTCAAGTAGCACTGAATTTTCTGCAAGCAAGTATCAAGCTTTATTTGTCACAGAGTTAATAATTAATTATCGTTAACGATTTCTTGTGAAGAAACTTACTTTTCGACTATCAAGCAGGATGAATCCTTTTTCACGTCAAAATTTCAAACAGCACTGAAATTTCCAAAAGAAAATTTAAAGTTCTCTTTCATCCTGAAGTTAACAATTAATTATTCTATATAATGTAAATATAAATAAACATAGATTTCTTGTGAAAAAACTTACTTTTCGATTATTCAATAGGATGAATCTCTTCTTTTTGCACCAAATTTCAAATAGCGCTGAAATTTCCATAACGAAGTATCAAGCCTTATTTCACCCTGAAGTTACCAATTAACTGTTAACCCTCTATGGGCCGAATATGTTTCTTCACTGTAAAAGAATTTATGTCACGTAAAATTAGCAAATATCGACCTACAAATACAGAATAACAGTGAATTCAGCAGTTTCGACAATTTTGTCACAACGAATACATATTGTAACTTTGAAGTAACAACGGTTATCAAGAAAGTTATTGGTTGATAAGGAGACACTGTACAACAAGACGTTTATGCCATTTTGCGGAAGAAAGTTCAATTATTTAATAAAATATCGATATATTAGTATGTGACTTGAAAGTTACACAGGCCCATAGAGGGTTAAGTAGAGATCAAACTGTCATTTCTTCAAGCACCCGAACACTTTTTTACCAAAAGAATTATTCCAAAATGGGGACACTGCGAAAGCAGTATTCGAAGAATTGTTTAATTCAAAGGCTAGCGATTTTTACAAATTTGGAATAATAAAAATAGTTGATCCTCGGGAAAATTAATTAAACGCATTATTTTTCGAAGAAGCACAATATACATATTTAAATTTCCATTGGAAAAAAGAAAACGACGATTCATATACGCTAATCTAATAATTCCAAACTACCTTGGAATCAACCAGAAACGATAAAAAAAATTCCGAAATATTCCATCGTGAGCCGCGCAACGTCGAAGACATAAAGATGTGAGCTATGTAACGGCAATAATTCTCGTACGATCGCGCTTGTCACTGGTTTGATACATGTAAACAAATCAACGAGCCAATGTACACGAACGCGACGCGCGGACTAGCATAGAATATTTATACGAAATTTTCCATTTATCTTCGTCAACTAGCGCGTGCTCGAATGAATTAAATGGAATTTATCGATCTACGCTTCCATCGCGTCCACTCGAGTCCATTTGCGGTGACCTGTCGTTTCCGCTTTTCATTCTCGCCCGTTATCGATAATCCATAAGTCCCTTTGTGATAATCGCAATCTCGACGGATACGGAGGCCGGCCTCCAGTTCGAACGTGTTTGTGCTGTCAATAGATCAATATCTTTTTCAGCGGATGTGTTTGACATCGACTGCAGTTTGCTTAGAAGAGAGCGAAGTGTTTTACGAGCTCCACCCTTCTTCGCGACCATTTCTCCCTCGATCCTCCACGAAATTCCGTTTAATTGTTGATCACCGGTTGTTTTTCAAATTATTGCGTCGATTGTTGCAAATTATTGTTTGCAACGATCGTAGATCGATGTGCGGTGACTATCGTGATATTATTTTCATTTTTTTACGTTTGGATAGGTTTTCAGGATCGTTCTGTAGATCACACGAAGCTGATACGTTTAAAACCAACCCTCCAATTTTTCATCTATGTAGTTGCCAAATAACTGTCCTAAGTGTACGGAGTTTCAAATTCGAAATTTTAAACCAACTTCTTCAGGGACACTGACGCATATGGTGTGCATTTAGTTTTTTGGAAAATTCTGATATTTCTGATAGAGAAAATATGAAAGGTATAATCAGCCAACAAGGGAAGCAGTTTAATTGCTATCGATTTAACGTGAATATAAATGTAATTACATAAAATATCAGATAATTTTTTTTTTAGTTTTGAAAAAATCGTCTCTCAAGTGGTAAACCAAACTTCGAATGAAAATCTGTGATCATCGGCGAATATTGATAGTATTTTTCTTTGCAAGAGACTTAACACGTTCAGCGAAATTCACGAAACGCTCGTTACTGTCAGGGTTTCTTATGACCGAGGTGTGTATTATCATTAATACTTAATTTTTCTGTATGTAATCTGAAAATGTGGTGACCATTGAATTACATACTTTACTAATCTTTATTGCCATCATTTTGAACGACTCATCGATGGATCATGTCAAACCGTCCTGAACGTTAATATTCTATAATAAAATCTAATATTTGCTTCGAATCATCGTTGCTAATAACCATTTTTAAACAGTTACGTTAAGATTCAATTAAAAAAAAAAGTATTCTGAATTTTGTTGTTTCGAGAATTCGTTTGGATGTTTTTGTAAATTTACGTTTGTTACTTTATTATTGCTACTCTAACGAAAAGTACAGGAAGTTGAACGTTACGGTTAATTGCTCGTGGTGATTTGATTTAAATGGAACCGCGAGGGTACTGTGCGTTATATGAACTTGTAAATACAATCAGATGTCAAGGCTGGCACTCGTAATTATTTATCACAGTATCTACGTTAAATTAACTGTTCTATGCATTGCAAACTAGGTTTCCATCGTGGAAATTCATTTTCGTCTTTCTCTCTCTCTCTTGGAGGTTCGAGTTTTTAACGCTCTTGTCATGCATTAGTAAAAGCGTATCGAACAATATGGAGATTGTTTAAAAATAAACGTTTAATTCTAATGGAATTCTAATGGCTGAAAACCGCGGGAATTAATAGACGTATGAAAATGGAAAATTAGTTAAATCGATCAGCTTGCAAACTTCATCGAATAATTAGCATTGGTTGAGACATTTTGCAAGTTAGCAAAATCTCATTCTCAGCAGAGTGTCTCAGTTCTTTTCGATCAAACTTTGTCACAGTGTCCTATGGGTATAACTAAAGAAACATTTTATACGTTTTTATAAATTTGGAATTGATATTATGGAGCTCCACAGCAATTTACCTCCCTTCGATTGATTTTAATGACAAAAAATTCGTTAAAATTGCTATTTTCTAAACATTTGTGCGTTTCTGAAAATTTGCGTTGCAAGTCGCGATATAAATCTGTACAACAGTAAGCAGCGTTCATTCTTGATACACACACAGCGTGACGGTATTTTCGGAAACGGGATATAAATTCGTAACAGCGATCCGTCCACTTTTTCATCTCCCCCCTGATGGATTTCGATAATTCTTCGACTATGAGTCAGGGTGAAAATAAACGAAGAGTGAATAATGACTAGTCCGAGCGTCAAGATGAAATCCACGTAACGTTCTGCGACGGACAGATAGGAGTGCCAGGTTGATCGAAAGCGCAAAATATAATAGTCCGCATTGGGTACTTTTGTTCTCTGATCGAGTATATCAAGTATTCTGGTCGAGTAACAAGTGGTGCACGCGTCATGTCATGTGTCAGACACAGTGCACACTACACACGCCCTGCCTCTACTGCCTTTTACCTCAAACCAAGAACGGGTATTTCTTGTCGATAAAAGTCCACCCTTCTCCTGCGTATCCCTTTGTGAATCAATTGTTTCGCTCTCCTCGCGTATCAAGGCAAATATCTGCCCCGCGCGACTTCTTCCATTTCGAAATTTTCTTCAAGTTCTATACTGGAGGAGGAAGTCGCGAGATGCTATACTGTGTGTATCGTCCAGTGTGTAGTAATGGTAGAGCTGGAATCGTTTGATGTTAAGCGGCAATGACAAATTTCATCACTTTTGTCGTTTGAAACGAAGGGTTAAAAATGGAGAAATTGGCTCTATCAGAGTTTTCAAACGAGTTTTGGATTTTTTTATGAAGTTTGCGGGTTTTTAGTAAGAATTCTTTTATCTAATTGTAATTTTAATCATTTCTAAGGTCTTAGAATGTGTTATATGATTTAAAAATTAGTATCATATATGAGTGAAAATATGCAGGGTGTTTGCACTGTTAGTTTCTAGTGTTTTGTGAGAAAAATAGAAGAGGACAAAGTTTAATTATTTTTTATACGAAATACGACGGCTTGAATGTATTTCAACAATCGTCTTCGTATAACGACGATATTACGAATTTTTTTTTAATTGATAGCTATAAGACTGAATCATTTTTTTTCAGGATCATATTAATTTTGTAATAACTGTTTAAGTTTTGTTGAGATTTATTATACGTTTTGTTAGGTCTTTCTTAGCAGTTACTCTAAGTATTATAAAAAGAAAAATTGATATTATGTCAATAAGACGTAAGTCAATATTTATTGACCGATGAACTCCAAATACAGGGTCAATATAGTTGCGTTTATTAATGTATAATGTGGATTTAAAAAGGGTACTGCTAACAATCGAATATTTCATTTAACCATGGATTAAACACAAAAGAAAATTATTATTTCTAGTTTAAAGGAAAATTGGAAAGGTGTATAATAGAGTTATCGTACTAATTGTTTAAAGAAACAATATATCTCGTCCAGAAATCAGTCGTAAGTAAATTTTCCACGTGAATGAGAGAGTGTCAGTGGAAAGTGTTGCATATTTTTAGTTTGATCGATAGAGAAGTTTATTAAATTTCAGCTCACCGTTATTACGAAAAGATTGAATAATTTTGTTTTACAGAAAATTTCTCTCTCTTTTTTCTCACGATACGAGTTAAAATCTAGCTTAATATTTAACAGGTATTTCATCACTGGAACTTATTTTATCATTCATTGTTCCTTTTTGTAATTTCACAATTTTCAGTTATAACAAAGATTTTATTCAGTTCAAGCCTCCAGGGTTTCGAGCAGTAGTAAATTTTTTCAAATTTACACTTTGAAACGTTTCACTGTTTTCGATCTTCTCTTTCTGCCGCAAAATTAAACAATTTTTGCTCGTAACAAGTGAAAAAGAGAATTATTTAAATAATCGCACGAATTTTTAACGAAAGTTAAAAGTCTTCGTATAAACTTATCTCGCCTAAGTACTGTCAGTCAAAACCTCATTCAGAATGTGCAATATTTAGCGTTGTATAATTTCAATAAGAAAAACGTAGTAAATTAATAATACTTACTTATTTTATTTAGAAACGTGACAAAGAATGATAATTTACGTTCGTTTGTTAACAATTTAAATACTATTGAAATTATAAAAAGAAAAATTAAATTATACAAAGCTGAATATTGTATACATTCTAACAAAGTTTCCGACCGGTTATTATTTCTCATCGTTATCTATGTACGAACGTATAAAAAGAAGAACAGTATCTGTACATGCATGTTAAGAAACTTAAATAAAATTCACGTAGCTATGAAGTTCAGCGTCACGAATAGATTAATTTTTTTCAAGTCCATTGTTGCTTTTTGCACTTTGATTAACACCCACGTATTGAACGCCCTTTTTAGCGTCCTGACGCCTTTGCACGTCCTCCGTAAACACGGTCATGATAAAGCCGACGAGCAACGCCGTGCAAAGTCCCACATGAACCGGAATATCTCCGTATACTTCCAACAATCGGCCCATTATCAGAACGAGGACAATGCCGTAAACATTATTGCCCACGTTCAAAATTCCCGCCGTTATCCCTTCGGACTCTGGATACGTGTACTCCGCGCAAATTTCGTATCCTAAGGCAAAGTATCCGACCATGAAGTACCTGCGCAAAGTAATTGGCACTTTAGACGTTGGCGAAATTTATTCCGAGGAGAATTGTGAGAGAAAATTTTGGTAATAATCGCCGATAATGATCTACGATGGAGTGGTGATATTTAATAATTTAAAATATAGTGAAAAACCAGCGTGACACTACATATAGACGAAATGTGCGTTGATAATTAGGGAAGACGTTGATAGTTAATTGCATTTTTAATTGTAAATTTTACCCTCTTGCGTCTATTTTACTATAATTTATTTTACAGAGGTGATAATAACGAAGGATAAGTTTGCTCGATATTTTCGCAGAAAGGAATATACCTGCGCAAAGTAATATTAACCCTTTGCGCTTCTACTATATGTCGAATCGGACTCGACACGAATTTTTGCCGTCAGATACCACGTAACGATAAATTATAAACGATAATATACCATTTTTTTTAATGCATTAATATTATACCGAAACTTAGTATTTTATAAGAAATATTACGCCGAAATACTGAAATAAAGAGAAACTACATGGTACTGCCCGAGAGTGATCAAACGAGAGCGGAGTAACTGGACTATTTAAACCGCAGGGGGTTAATATAAAATTAAAAAAAATTAAGATAAAACAATATCTTTCTTTTCACTGCGATTAGTTAAATTGTTCCATCAAACGAAGTAGAATTTTTCTCAATTGAATTCATACAGCTCGAAGTTTATCTTTGTATTTTTCAAGTTGCAAAAATACCCGGGAATGTAGATTATGTGGATGGAATGATCAACGAATCGATGAAAAAATTGTCGAGTTCATATTCGCAGGTATTTATGTTTGAATTTGTTAACTGAAGTGATTTGATGTTAATATAAACATGATACGTGGATACGTGTATACAGTACCCCAGAAAAGTGGCCGAGAGATATACCATCCATTTCATTTCGAGGCATGCGAACGTAGAAAAGAATATCTGGCCGCATAACGCCAGGAAATACACGATCACGGTCGTTTCCCTGAAAGTACATACGCCCAGTTTCGTTATAAAATATTACAAAAAAAAGCACGTTGACGAAGCATATGTTAAAAAAAAAAAAAAAGTACAAAAAACGTGTGCCGACAGAAACGTACAATGTATTTCGAATTCGAAGTAACACTGCAGGGGCTGACCTATTTTTCATAAAATGAATACTACCGTTTCAGGACAGCGTGTTGAATTGGAAATTGAGAATTTTGCAAATTTGACGGATGCACGTGTTTTAAAATCATCCATGCTCCTTCGAACGATACGTTTTTTTTTTTTATTTCTTGGAGAAAATTCATTTGAAACAGTTTCGAACGACATTCACTTTAGAAATTATTGCAATATTGGCAAAAATTTCTTTGGCAACTTTTTATTTCAATTTTTCTTCAAATTCGTGGAAAAAATCAGATCACCCTCTGCACTGTTTTTCTTTGTCAATAAGCATCACAGGAAAAGAAAAAAATAATTTTACGAACTTCATGCAAACATATAAATGAATTACAACAAATAGAGAGAGAAAAATAATTTCACAGCGACACGTGAACAGATTTTCTTACTTGAACTTCTGTGTCTTATCGAGAATCACACCGAAACAGATGGAACCTATCATTCCCGCAACGATCATGGCCAAACCGATTCTACCCGCGTCCTCTTCACCGTGCTGCAAAATATTCAACGTTCAACAATTAGATCTGTATACAGTTTTTCTCGTTTGTCACGTCGAGTTTCCGAAAATCGACGAATTCATAGTACTCATGGCTCACCTCGAAGTGCTCGAGATATATCTGATTCAGTAATGTTCCCACTGCGTTGAACACACCTATTCCTAAACCGTACGAATTGCAGAGCAATAAATAACACTTGTTTTTAAACAATCTTTTAACTGGCTCTATGAAACTTTCTTCCACCTCCATTTGATTCAACTTTTGCAGAACTCGCGTTTTACTCGGCGGTAGCTTCGGATCGTTCTCGAATACTGTGTAAAATAATGTCGCTTTTTTAGTAAGTTTGCTGAATTTCTGATCGTTGTTGCTTGATTTTCAGCAGTTATCATTTTTGCGTATTAATTTTGAACATTTTTATTGAGTTCAGAATTTTGAAAATTTAACACGGTTGAGAAATGCTCAGTTTTAAGATAGAGATAGTTATTTCTCAAGGGAAACTTACGTGTAATGACTAGCAAAAATGCAACCGAGATTATGATAGCTATGGCCCAGAAAAGGTGCGACAAGGCAGAGCCGATGTCGTCAAGATTCTCGTGATTTTTTATGAGTATCGGTGTTAATAGGAAACTTAACGCTATTCCTAGTTGATTACCGAAAATACTTAACGACGTGGCTGTGGAAATTTCGGTAACGTCGAACCATTGCGCTGCCAGACGTCCAGGCATGATCAAAACTATAGTCTGACATGAAAAAAAAAAAGAAGTGATCAATAGACATCAAATTAAATGTAAAACTATCCTTAAAATCGTATACTTTTGTGTTGTATTTTACTTCAATTAGCAAATTTTCATTCGTAAAAAAAGAAAAGAACGTGAAATATTTTGTCTACAAGGTTATAAAAAGAGTGTCGTTACGTTCAACGTTTCTGAAAAATTTCAGCAAGTTAAGCCTCTTAAAAATTACACACAAAGGAATAGAAAATTTCGTGTAGAATTTCCGTGAACGGAATATAATTTGAACCTGAGGAGAAATAGTAGTCGACTTGTAGAAACGAAACTACAGTGTACCAGAGTCTATGTGATACTCTTGTAAATTAATTCCCCGTTTCAGTTTTCACCTGTGATAAAATTGCGAATTTTTACCGAATGAATGCTCTACAATATTTCCTCCGAGCATAAATTCCCCCTCTATTTTTCTTTCTTTCTTCCTTCTATTTAACGATGTAAGTCCCTTATGGATTTTGGAATTACAACGCACCTCCGGGCAAAAGTCACCCAGGTTTCATTAAACTCGAAATGTCAGTGAACGCGCATAAATCTTTGTGCGAGATACTGCTTCCAAGTTAAGCCCCGGGTACATAAAATTCGACTAGACTTGTAATACCTTGCATTAGCAATAATTTACGACACATTTTCACGAACTGATCTCTACCGTGTTTGTAGTTTGCGCGATTATTTCAGCGAGAAACGCGTTCAATTTACCCGTTTAAACGCAGCCTTGTAATTATGATGTTTCAACTCGATTTTAAATATTTCCATTGAAAATTACCGGTGCAAATAGATTGTAGATGTGCAGGAAATAATCGTTTGCTGCGGGTATAATCGAACGTGTTTCGAGTAGTATACAGGGTGAGCCACGTGAAACAGGCCATCTAATTGTAGTAATTATAATTCTTTAGCTATGGCGGCACGAGAAATTTTTTATACGTAACTGAAATAGTTTGATATTTTTCTGTTTTTTTTTTTTTCAAGCTCACTTATGTGTATTAACACGAATGTATATATATATTTTTTCTATTGTATAATAATACGACCTTAAAATTATCTTAGACTCTGAAGTTTTAGACCAAATATGAGACTTGTTTTAATTTTGTGCCGTTTCTTTCGTCAAAAAAATTTGTCACCCTTTGAAAGAACTTAAATTAGGGATGAAAATTTTCTCGTATCATCATAGTTAAGTAGAGAAGATAATTAGGTGGTTTGTTTTGCTTTGCCCACCCTGTATATTGTGCTGCACGTCCAGGCTGACTTACTGTATCGCTTATTTTGATTTGTACTACTTGTGCCCGGCACGGTCTGACGTAAAACGTATCGTACTACTTAGAACCGGCGATCAGTGATATGTATCTTTTAATTACTGCCTCGAGTGAGTAGAAGTACAATCGTAACGTGGAATTTTGTTTACTATTAACCATTTAGAACGATATTTTACACGAAGATTCTAATTTTCAATTTTTCAATTAAATTCTAAATTTTCGTCGATTTCAGACTTTTTCGTTTACTACATTTCCAATTTAGTTTGTCGATTGTGAATCATTGTTCACCATTTGTCGTACAGTTTGAATGTTGCGTAATACTGAGGTATTCTATCTGTCAAATTGTGTACATATATATTTTGAATTGTGGGAAGTTGGACGGAGGAATCGAGGGATTAGCATCTAACCTGTGTAGAAGCGACCAGTGATTGTCCAATGAAGGTTACGTAAAATCTGTCAGGACTGACCGACAAAACTTTGATCCACGAACCAAGGCAATTGATGCCGCATCCTACAATATTTGTCCATCTAAGTCCCCATCGGTCCAGCATGTATGTGGCAGGAATAATGAAAATCACGTAATAGACCATAAATGCCATTGATGTCCAGTCGACAGCCAACGAAGAGACGCCATAGTATCTGAATAATATATATTTTGCACCGTGTTGGAGATTTAAATTTCTAATTTTACCTGAACTTCTCGTAGATATTTCATCTGACAGTGTCAAGTGTCATTTTGTAATTCATTTACGTACGCTATTGCTCTGTTCGTAAGTATTAGGACACCTATTGTGTTCGCGTGGAAAGGATTATGTGATTGAAATTACATTTTCTCGCCAAAGTTACTGTCATAGTGAATGATTTTTTTTTTAGGATCTTAATAAGTTTGCAATGATTTTTGTGTGTCGACAGATTTTATGTTGAACTTGGAACGACAACGAGGCTAGCTTCAGATTTTGGCAGATTTTAGGAGACGTCTGGAGAATTCAGTAGATTTTAGTAGAATTCAGTAACTTTCAGTAGAATTTAACAGATTTCCATAGGTTTCAAAATATTTCATTGGTAAAATACGGTAGATTTTAATAGAATTCAGCAGATTTGATTAAAATTCAGTAGATTTTAATAGATTTGCATAGGTTTCAAAATATTTCATTGGTAAAATACGGTAGATCTTAATAGAATTCAGCAGAGTTTAATAGATTTGCGTAGGTTTCAAAATATTTCAATAAATATTAGAAGAATGCAGTGGATTTTGACAGAATTCAGCAGATTTCATTAAATTTTAGTAAAGCACAGTAGTATTCGGTAGATTTTAGTCAATTTCAGAAGAGTTCGGTAGATTTCATTATGCTTCGAATTCAGTAAGTGTCCCAATACTTACAGGAGTGTACGACACATAAGAGAATGACATTTAACGATATGCCAATGGCGAAAGCCTTAGAGTATAACACCAATTATATTACATGATGAATCATTTTGTTCACGTGTTCCGCAGCAATTATTAAAAACAGGCTGAATTGCAGAAATGAATGCGTTATCTTCGACGCACGAAAGTACGTCTCACTGTGTTTGTACCGTATACCGATATTGTATTTGTTAACACTCTACGTTGAACAAGTTTCTAAATCATGAATCAGGATTTAACGTATTTGCAACTGAGTATAAATATCATCACGACTAAATACGATGGAGTTTGTTTGACAAATTAGCACTTGATATTAAAATGAGTGCATTACGAGCTTATGTTGGATTTGTGAATGAGTTTGTGGAAAAGAGGGAACTTTCTAGATCGCAATTAGAAACTTCAGGCAAATTATTCGCATTCGTAACTTAGGCGATAATCATTTTAACATTTTAGAATCTCAGGATTTATTTTTTAAGTGGCTCTTTTTGAAACGAAAGTGCGCGAAATGTCATCTTTTTATAGGATGATCGAACTTTTTATCTTTCCTTTTTATGACACCTAATTTTTTCTACCCTAACTTCTCTCGTTGCAATTTTACCTAACTTTTCTTTTTTATCGTGTTTTATTAAGTGTATCTAAAACATTGTTTGTTTTTATATTTTTCTAGTGGAAGGTATAAATTTTGTTAGAAGTTACAATTCTTCTGATAATTAAATTACCTTTCGTTCTCAGATAAATAAACTTTATTTCACGTTTGCACGACGATATTGATATTGATATATTGATATTTATGAACAGAAACTGTAGTAAACATATGTGCGAATCTATACCTACTCACTAAATTATTACGCCAATGTACACAGCGGATAATTCCAAGTAACAAGCCATAGAAATTTCTGTTACACGTCAATTCTTAGATGCAACTGTGCAAATACCTGGTAATTATGCTGATGATAATAGAACATTGTACATATATTCCATCCATGTACACAGTGAATGAAAATAGTTACAAATCATAATAGCAGAATAATTAATAATTCAAAGTAAGGATCCAGAGAAATTTTGATTATATGTCAATTTTTAAACGCAAGTTTGCAAATACCTGGTGATTATGTTGGTGATTATCGAATATTGTACCCACTGGAAGCTGCTCATTCCCGTGTACAACGTAAACAAGCCCAGCATCAGCCATCGTCTCTTGTACACTTTCGTCTTCCACAAATTTTCATTGTCCTTTCCGCTCCCGTTTATTACCTTTACAGGACTGTTCACGCACAACACCTCGGTAGGACCGTTCTCATCCGTCATTCTCATATTATTTCTTCAACAAATACCCAAACCTCCTTGGCAATACGAGAAACAATAAGTAACACGAATAAAACAGAATCCTTGATTCAACCAATTCTGAACATTTCGACGAATGTAACTTCCATCAAGATCATTCTATATTTCTTAATTTCCCCATAAGTCTCAGAGATATCCTGTCTTCTTCGTCAATTGCAAAACCTGGCGAACTTCAATTTTTTCTTTGCCATTCGCCGAAGAATCGAGGTTTGTCGTCCTTCTCGAATGTTGATCCTCATTCGATAAAATTGTCTCCCGAGATCAAGAGGGGCCCACTTCTTCTTCACCTTGCCAATTCGCAAACGAATACTAGACTGGACCAGAGAACGATTGCGTGTCGCGCGTGGTGGTCGCTTTCATCTTGATCCTCAGACGAACTGCGCCTATATGATGCCATTGCTTTTTGTCTTATCTCGATTCCCGATTAAATAAGTGCCGTTGTTAAATAATGCCGCATGTTTGCCGTTATCGCTCTTTTTATCGCGTTTTCGTGCCGGCCTTAGCCGTAGCTGAAACTAACTAATCCATCCTTTCGTTCGTGTTTTTCCATCACGATCCGATCCCGAGACTATCTTTTTCCTGGTTACGCTTCACTTCCTTCTTCCCTTTCCTTTTTTCACCTGATTCTCGCGAAGATGTAACCAATGTGAGAATGAACGAGGAACACGATAAAGAATTAAGACGCTTTTACGACATCTATCAGGCGCATAATCCTAGAGGCAAACAGTTGGCCGAAGTATGCATATTAATCCTGGGGCGTTCGTGTCTCGAACGACGAGACGTTTGTGACGAGGAAACCTCTGGCGCCACTCTATAGACTTTAGGGTTTAGTCGATGTTGCAATTTACGATCACTAGGCGACTGTTATAGCAGCCTCTTCTCGCCATGTCGGTTTCAGAAACTTGGCTAATTTTCGCCGGTAGGAAAAACGAAGTGTCGGATCAATCGACTGAACAGCTTCCCTTTTCTTTTGGTCAGAAATATTGCGAATGACATTTAGCAAGTCTCGAGAAAAATTGTGTGATAAGTAGTATTGATAAGGAATTCTTGAAATATAGAAATAGCATATGATTGTATAATTATCGTCGATGAATAGACCGAACAGCTTCCTTTTAAACGATTTTCCTTTTTTTGGTCAAAAGTATTGCGGATGACATTTAGCAAGTCTCAAGAAAAATTGTGCGATAAGTAGTACTGATAAGGAATTCTTGAAATATAGAAATAGCATATGATTGTATAATTATTGTTAACGAATTGACGGAACAGCTTCCTTTTAAACGATTTTCCTTTTTTTGGTCAAAAGTATTGCGGATGACATTTAGCAAGTCTCGAGAAAAATTGTGCGATAAGTAGTTCTGATAAGGAATTCTTGAAATATAGAAATAGCATATGATTGTATAATTATTGTTAACGAATTGACGGAACAGCTTCCTTTTAAACGATTTTCCTTTTTTTGATGAAAAATATTGTGAACGATATTCGGTAAAGTTCGAGAAAATTTGTGTGATAAGTGGTACCGATAAGATATTCTTAGAATATATTGTAGAAATAGCACATGATTTTATAATCATTTTCAAGCCAACTTTTTGGTAATAATGTAAAATAATACAAAACAAATGCCTTACATTACATTTATTACATTAATAACGAAAGGAGAGCAATTAAAATAATCGGGAAAATACTTTTTCACGAAATTTCATTCTTTGCTAATTTAAATTTAAAATTGCAATGGAATTTGAAAGAAATAATTTCAACGTAGAAGTGTTATTAGAATTTTGTAAATTTTCATCTCATACAAGCCCATAATTATTTATTTGAAGAGTAAAGATTGAATAATATAATACATTTATCTTGTAACGTTGATCTGTTTGTTGTATCAATGTATTTTCGGTTCATCTTATGTAAGTACAATACAGAGGACAGATTTCTGATACGTTATCTAAATCTTCCTCGTAGTCATCGTTCATATCTAATTTAAGCTTCACCAGTTTGGTTGATATTTTCAGATTTCAAATCTCTTTGCGGATCTTTTCAGAAAATGCAAGAACAATAACAAAATCGTAATTATACGATGATAATTCGATCGATCGATTAATGCAAATAAATTGTGTAATCGAAAGATATTTTTAAATCGCAACGATTCACTTGTAATTGAATATCTTTAAACGTAATCTCAGAATACAAAATATATGTATAATATTAGATCGTAACAGTAAAGAGGTATCGTGTAATGAATATAACAGAAGTTTATTAGATATTACATTTTAACAATAAAGACAATGCAAATCTGAGGCTCTTTGAGTTACACAAGTTTATAATTTATTACAAAATTAAACATCTCCGACACAATCCTCTCCATAAACTTCGCGACACCCATAAATGCATTAACATCAATGGTAACATTAAAAAACGTCGGAAAAACTATGACTGACTGAGTGGTGCAGACGGAAATTTTTTTTCCATTGTAAAAATATGTGACATTCGTGTATGGTACAGTACCAAAATTTCGTCCTGCCATTAGCCGTACTCCAGTAAGAAATTCTCATCGATCGGTAAGTAATTGAAGGAAATTTTTCATTCGAGAAATTCAGAATAAATAGCAACAATTAACAAAGAGATGTTAAAAGAAAGATTCTCTGTAAATGACAAATTTAACAAATTTTCGAATACGTTTCATATCACTATTAGACAGTTATTCTTCGTTAAAAAATTACATCGAGACAGTTTTCTGTAACATCCTCACAAAGGATTTTCACAGAATTTCTTGATTCAGTTTTTTAAGCGAAATAATTATCCAATAAATTACACATAAAATACGTTTCTTCGCCTTTGTTCCAATTTCCAATTTAACATTTGCCCGCTCTTTCTCTTTCGTTTCTCACAAATTTCACAGCTTAGCCATCCAGTTAACCGTGTGGTACAATTTTCCAAACAAAAATTTCTCCATCAAATATGAACAAAGATGAAGAAAAGAACTTTGGATTAGGTCGTGTGTAGTACAAGAATTTTATCATTCCGTTAAATTCATCGAGAACCGAGATCCTCTTCGATAAATCACTTAATTCAAATTACTAATTGAATGTCGTATTGCGTAACATATCAACAACTCTTCAATTTCACGTTTGCGTTTGATTCTCTCTCTCTTTCTCTCTCTCTCTCTCGACTACTTATACAACTAATAGACTCAATACCTCGTCATCAAGTCTAACTAACGTTTTACGCAAAAATATACTATCTGCACTAAATATTGCTTCGCCTACGCCACCTTTCATTGCACGCGAAATGCGGTATAATGAATTACAAACGAGCCAGGCACGCAATGTCGGTACTTTACCACACCATGACGTGGTTACTTTACATTATACGCAACGTCGCTCCTGTTATCATTCTTTCGTTCTTCTTTGTTTTTTTCTTTTCTTTTCTGTCGTTCACAAGAATCGTTTTATTTTTATACATACACCGTGTCCCGGTTGAAACCGTGAAATCATCATCTGTCCTCGAAACGAGCCCTCGAAAATATATATTACAAACGACGGATCGCTATCGTTACCGTAAGTCGAAAGAACAATCGTGTGTCTTCTTCATTTCTCTGTTTCTGCTCCGTACGGATTAATATTAAAGTGTCTCGTTTATATAATTTATATTTATATTTATATCTATACACATAGTCTAACGATTACTCGTATTGTATACAATTTACTGTGTTTTTTTTTGTTTTGTTTTAATAGTACTATGTAACGCTTTTTTTCCGGACCGTAATCCGGTACAATCGATATTTAACGTGATAACATATGTATACAGTATGTTTTACAAACTATTCAATTCACCGAGCAACAGTTCACACAGGGCAACACTCTGAATGTAAAAACACGTGGAAAAAATCACTTTATCATCTCTCTCTCTCTCTCTTTTATTGTTTTTTTTTTTTTTTTTTTTTTTTTTATTTTTTGTTATGTTACGTTGATGTTCCTGTTGAACAAGTGGGAAACATTCCAATTTGGTGTTTCACCGACGTCGGTTATCATTTTGGCTAGATTTTCTGTTCAGCGTTTTAAATTCACGTACTTTCGTCCTAAGATCGAGCACCTTACGGGAGAAACCCTATTATCGTCTGTCGAGAACTCAACTTCCGGTCGAACTGCGCACGGACACTTTTGGTGCGTTAATCGTCGGACAACGGATGCCGGGTCAAATATGACCCGATGACTAAAATCTTCTTCGTAGGCAGATGAAATAGAAATTTTTACTTTATCGGGCAGTATATTGTTTAAAAATTGTACAAATGTATTGTGATTGAAGTGATACAAGGAGGGGAGAATCGTGACTGTTTTGAATTTAGGTTGAAATAAGAGATAATTGAAAGGTGGGTCATCGGTGACCCGGCATTCGTCGTCCGAAGGTTGAAATGAAAATCGAAGATATGTGTAATTCGAATGTAAAATGAAACGGACGTTTGAACGTGTCAGTTTTTTCACCTCATAGTGTTCCATCGTGCTGCTGAACTATCACCGGCATTGAAAGTTGAATGATAATGTGGAAAAAGAGGGTTTTGACTGAGGGAACCCCCGGACCAACGCGAAATATTTGGAGAAAAGCTCTTATCATCTGGATATCGGAGTACTAGAAATACTCGTTATAATTCGGACTTGGTGTCGAAATTCTGGTATTCGAGGTTTCTGGTTTTCTTTGTTAATTACTCGAATACGAAGCTTTTATTATCTGGATTTCGATTGAAGAAAGCAAGTGTAGGTAAAGGATTGAGATTAAAGAATACTGAAGAAAATTGAAACGTTTAAGTGACTATTTGACACTGATATTTAGTATCTGATAGACTGATAGCGAAGGTGTGCTTGGTGGAAGGGATATAGCGAGATTGTAAATCTTCACATTAGTCGAAAACCAAGTGTGTCCGAGATTTAAACACAAGTTAGAAAAGTAACAGAAAAATGCTATTCTCTTTTTATAAATTGGTCAAGAATGTACATTTTTTGTCAGATCAGAGAAAAAATGTAATACATTTTTTGGTGTGCCGTAGAATTTCAGCAATTAATTTATGTGCGCCGTGAGATAAAGGTTAAAAAATTCTCGCTCCCGCAGTGAGATATTTCACATTGATCTGTAACATTCAGTGCCTTTATTTTCTCCGTTTGTCACTGTTTTCACATCGCGAAGAAAACGTCTGGAAGAGCGAAATAAATCCACCACGAAAAAAAAAAAATCGCTAAAATTTCACAATTTGGTGGAAATTTTTCACATTCGTGTGAATACACGCATAAGTTTGCCACGTGTAATATTATACTCTTGCGAATCTATCGTCATAAAACATTTGATCCGGGGGTTCCTTAAATATCAAATGGAACATTTTGCAAATCGAATTTTCTCCGAATTTTTCCAAGGAAAATCGTTACGATACGTTTAACATTACGTTTAGAAGAGGAAAGTCTTCGTACAGAGGCGAATCGCTGTTGGAATTTTTATTTCCCCTCAACTCGGTGTGCCAGGGAATCGAACATCCACACACCGCAGACGTTGGAACACCGTGAAAATCGTTTCGTTTGTCGTTCAGCTGGTCGAAAGGCTCTCGAAGGTTTGAGAAACAACGGGGAAATAGCATAGAACGAAATAC